CCAATTCACAAAAAGAACATTGGGGAACTGGAGAAAGTACAGAGAAGGGCAACCAACCTGATAAGAGGCATGGAGGAGATCAGCTATGAGGAAAGATTAGAGGAACTGAATTTATTCTCTCTTGAGAAGAGGAGATTAAGGGGGGATATGATCTCCATGTATAATACATAAGGGGGATGTGATCTCCATGTATAATACATAAGGGGGGATATGATCTCCATGTATAATACATAAGGGGGGGGATATGATCTCCATGTATAATACATAAGGGGGGGGATATGATCTCCATGTATAATACATAAGGGGGGATATGATCTCCATGTATAATACATAAGGGAGGATATGATGAACATGTATAAATACATCAGTGGTTCATATAGTGTACTCGGTGTAGAGTTATTCACCCTGAGGTCATCACAGAGGACAAGGGGGCGCTCTTTACGTCTGGAGGAAAAGAAATGTAATCTCCAAACATGGAAAGGTTTCTTCACAGTGAGAGCTGTGAAAATGTGGAATAGACTCCCTCAAGAGTTGGTTCTGGCCAGCTCAGTAGATTGCTTTAAAAAGTCCTGGATTCTTTCATGGATATACAGAATATAACTGGATACTGACATTTATAGGTAAAGTTGATCCAGAGAATATCCGATTGCCTTTCAGGGGATCAGGAAGGAATTTTTTCCCCTGCAGGAGCAAATTAGGTCATTCTTTGCTGGGTTTTTTTACCTTCCTCTGGATCAACTGTGGGTATATGATTATAACCTTTTTTTTATGGTTGAACTGAATGCACTATCAGTTCCTGTTAGTGCAGCTTATCAGTGCCCATCAGGCTGCCTTAACAGGCACTAATGAGGCAGCCTGATGGGCACTGATGAAGCAGCCTGATAAGCTGCACTAATGGGCACTGATGAGGCAGCCTGATGGGCACTGATAACCTGCACTAATGAGAACTGATGAGACAGCCTGATGGGAAAGTGCCGGTATTGAAGTGGTTAAACATCCCCTGGCAACAATCCCCTGCCTCATCTTTCACATCCACAGTGACACTTCTACTGTTTCTGGACTCCATGATGCAGTCCTTGATCATAACCCGGTACAAACATAGTAGTGTCTCCTTTTAACATGTTTGCCCAAAGTCCATTCTGTCCTACCCACCACCTTCAGTTTTGATGTTCCTCTTAATCTGATTGCCAGTCTGGGACTCATGATATGTTGTAAGAATGCTGATTGCACTGTCTGGCATATTACACTAGGGAATGGTGGCTGCCAAACAGGGGCGGACTGACAACTCATGGGGCCCCCGGGCAATAGGGGCTCATGGGGCCCCTGTGTCCTTGCCCACACTCAAACTACACCCAAAGAAGCCTATGAAAGGTACCAGGGGCATCTCATGGGGCCCCCTACTGACCCCGGGCCCTCGGACAGTGCCTGAGTGCTCGAATGGTCAGTCCGCCCCTGCTGCCAACACAGATCTATCAGTTTTTTTTCTAATGCCTGAATCACACACTTGTGAGTTAGGAAATCTAAATCTATTTAGCTTTTTTTTTTTTCGTTCGCTTTGTTCCCAGCCCCTGAACTCAAATGATGGCAGCTTCCATCTGAGGTATCTCACACAGGTTGTTTTGCAACAGATACCCTTACATCAACAAGGGCCTTTTGTAAGAATGCATTCCTGTCTTAGGCTAGGTTCACATTCGTGTGATGCAGGAACACACACAATCGCCCACGTGCAAGCACCTGTCTTTTTTTGCAGGCACACAGCCATGCCATTAAATTTTAATGGCACCCCAACGCACTAACATGCGCGTGAAATTGCATGCCAAAATGCGTGGTGGTAGAAAAGCACCTTGCTTTTTGGTGCGGCATGATTTGAAAAAAAAAAAAAAGGTGCTTGAACTTTATTAGGCGATTTTCATGCCTAATAGGCTACCCTAATGGCGGCGCACCAAAATACGCGCACACCGCCACACCTGCATAAGTGTGAACAAAGCCTTAGGGTTGAAATCTAAATATAAACATTGTATCAAATATTCCATTACCTCTAATCAGAAATGAAGAATGAATAAGATAGGTCAACCAAAAAAAAAAAAAAATAGGTTCTGGCAAACATTATCCTAAACAAGAACAGAAAATTGTATTCTACAAAAAAAATCAAGTTAGACGGGGAGGGGGTTGCAAAAAATGTAAAAATGATGCTAATTATGGAAATGATATGTAAAAATATTCAGCAACAAAGTGGAGCTGATTAATCAGCACCAAACTGTTTCCAGAAAAAAAAAAGTGTTTTCTGTAATAAATTTCACTTTTTTAATCAGACTATAAATGAAGTTGATTAGGAATGTAGAGGTTGCAGTATGGCAATGCTGCCATCTAGTGTCGCACATACGTACTGAAGTTCCAGACAGCTATCAGTCTCAAATAAAGCAGCTCTTGATACATCAATACACCGTTACATTGTTATTATTATTATACAGGATTTATATAGCACCAACAGTTTGCTCAGAGCTTTACAATATAACGGGAGACAATACAGCAACAATACAGTTCAGCACAAGAGAGTACATGTCCTTTAACGAATGCTAGCAGTGTGAGTACCTGAATTTGACTTGCTATCAGTCTCTTGCAATCCGTGTACAGCAGAGCTCAGACCGGGAAAGGAAGAAGCAGCACAGGGAGCTGTGCTGCACTGCACATATGCTGACAAGGAGCATGGGAATAGAGGGCAGAAAGATGAGCTCATTAATCTACAGCTTCTCTTTGCTATTAAACATGTCCAGTAAAAAAAAAAAATTAAAAATCAAAATTTTATCATAAATTTAGGCCAAAATGTATTCTGCTCCATGTCTTTGCTAAGATTTACGAATGGCGGTATAGATACTGGAATTTTTTTTGTTTTACTAGTAACGGCAGGAATCAGTGACTTATAGCAGGACTGCGGCAGGCATTCTGGGAGGGAACTAATTTGGTGTTACTGACATCCCCAGTGACACCAATACAGTGATCAGTGCTAACAAAAAGCACTTACAGTATACTGTACTAATGACTCTGGGCAGAAAGGGGTTAACATGAGGGGTGATCAAAGGGTTAACTGTGTGCTGGATGTGTTTTACTTTGGGGCGATGTCTGTGTGCTTCACTGTAAGCACGCTGTTTTGGATGGCTGTGCTGTGCAGAGCCATACAAACCAGTGTGCAGGAGCTGACGGGAGAGATCTGTAATGTTTACATATAGGTCTCTCCCGTCGGCGATCACTGGGTGCCAGTGAGTAATCGCCGGCCGGGACCCGGTGATTGACAGCCAAGGCCACGAATGGCGACGCGTGCACGCCCCCTACCCAGACCTGCAAAATCATGTATATATACACATGATTTTGTGCACCCATGCCACCCTGTAGCAGTAGTTCTGCTATAGGGTGGCACAGAATTGGTTAAAGTGTTACTAAACCCACAACAGTAAAATCAGTCTGTATATGCAGTAAAGCATGCTTGTTATACTCACTGCGAAACCTAAGCGGTTAATCTTCTGCATTGTGTAAAAATGCTGTTTGATTCTGTCTTCTCTGATCCTCCCCTTCTTCTACTGTCCCCAATCCATCTGCTGATAATACAGAGTCTTTGGGGTAAGCTGTACATGGTCAGTTTGGTGTGTATCGCTAGAGATTTTATTTTTTCTCTAGGGTCAGCGATCAGCACAGGGCCAATCAGTACTGTCCAAACAGAGGGTCAGGGGTTATGCAGCTTCATAGGACAATCACTGGAGAATGAAAACTCTTCCTACAGGTTTTAACCAGTGCTCTGTTTTCCTGCAGCTGGTTCTTCTTACCGCTGCAAGTCGCTGATTTTGACATCTTCGATAAGGTAGCTGTCTGTGGATTCCTGAGGAACTACAGCCAGTTCCCTGTGCACCTCCCTTTGAATGGTCCCGCAACCTCCTGGGACATGTCCCATCTGGGAGGGGAGGCAAGGGACAGCATACTTGCTTAGATGAGAATTGAGGAGTGCTGTGGTAGTTCATTGAAGCGTCCTGTCAGAATATCTACTAGCTCGTACATCCCATTCGGCCAACAGATATGCTGACAGGTCTATATTTGTCCAAAAGGTGAACTTTTCCTTTAGGTTCCCCCCCCCCCTTTCCATCCAGTGATGTGAATGAGAGCTCCCCCGGGTCTCTGTATGTGAATGGACAGTGTTCATTCACATGAGGAGCAAGCCTGCTTGAGTGCCCCCATAACAAGGGGCATTCAGCAGGAGGATGGAGCCAGGACCGCCAACGGGGGAGCTAAATAGAAGAGGATCAGGGCTTTCCTCCTTTCCAGATCCAGGCCTGTAGGTAGGCCTCATCCCACTGGGCCTCCTCACAGTCTCCTTCCTTAAACCTCACATCTTCCACTCTCCCTCCAGCTACCACTCTCCTGCAACTGAACAGGCCCCAACACAGCCTGCAGAGCCTCTCAGCTCCTGACCACAATTTGACCCATCTCTGGCTAATACACATGGGCTGCTGCTCAGCCCTGTCTAACCACTGGAGTCTATCTCCCACTAGCTAAACTAGGAGGGTGCTACTTTTTTTTTAATTTCAACCTTTAGCATCACTTTAAGCAGGGTGCTGTGATGCTTTCAGGAATATATGTACAGCACCCTTCTGGCCCCTCCCACCAGCCAGGATCTGCCCACAATGCATAGAGCACCACAGAGACCCAATGATGACATTTCTGGATCTAAAATAAGGTAATAAAAATGGAAAAAAAACTTTTGTTTAATGTCATGTTGAGGGACCAAGTAAAGCAAAATACAGCTGTGAACACAGGCTAATAAGTTTACATGTTATGTTTTTTGTTTTTTTTTCTACCCACAATGAGCGTTTTAGTTTTTTTTTATTTTCTATTATCTGGGTTTTCTTTTTAGCAAAATTTAGACGCAAGGTGCTTTTGTAACATTTTTGTCCTTTTTGGTTATTTTTCAGATTTATGATGTGACCATGTGACCTCTTCTGCCTTTTTCAAGCATGGATAACATCACATCGGTTGTCACTGGAAAGAATTCCTGCACCTTTCATGAGGAGTTCAAACAAATTCTGCTCCCGGTGGTCTACTCCGTAGTGTTAGTTTTTGGTCTTCCACTCAACTTCATTGTCATCCTTCAAGTATGGCTGTCAAGAAAGGCCTTGACTCGCACTGCCATCTACACCCTGAATTTAGCCATGGCAGACTTGTTCTATGTGTGTTCCCTTCCACTTCTCATTTATAACTATGTCCAACATGACTACTGGCCCTTTGGGGACTTCACTTGCCGGTTTGTCAGATTCCAGTTTTACACAAACCTACACGGGAGCATCATGTTCCTCACCTGTATGAGCTTCCAAAGATATATGGGCATATGCCACCCGTTGTCTGTCTGGCATAAAAAGAGGGGCAAGAAGTTTACATGGGTGGTGTGTGGGGTGGTTTGGTTCATCGTCATTGTCCAATGTATCCCCACTTTTTTGTTTGCATCCACTGGAGTTCAGAGGAACAGAACTGTTTGTTATGACTTGAGCCCCCCAGACCTCTCATCTCGATATTTCCCTTATGGAATAACATTGACTATAACAGGTTTTTTAATCCCTTTCATTGCCATTGTGTCCTGCTATTGTGCCATGACTAAGATCCTCTGCCAGAAGGATGACCTAGCCGATTCAGCAGTCCGAAGGAAGAAAGACAAAGCCATCCGTATGATAATCATTGTGGTTCTGGTGTTCGCCATAAGCTTTTTCCCATTTCACCTGACCAAAACAATATATTTGGTTGTGCGTTCCAGGCAAGGTGTTCCTTGCCTGGCCTTGCAGACTTTTGCCATCGTGTATAAGTGCACCAGGCCATTTGCCAGCATGAACAGCGTGTTGGACCCCATCTTGTTCTATTTTACCCAGCAGAAGTTTCGGCAGAGCACCAAGACATTGGTGAAGAGAGTCACGTACAAGTGGAAGAGTGAGACCAGCACCAAGCCACCACAATGACCATCACAGTTGGAGACCCTGAACTCAAAGAGAACGTACCTCTAATTGACGGGCAAAGCTGATCAAAGTTATTGATGAACTGGAAAATCTCAGAAAATGTCCATCTATTAATATAGAGGCATGTGCATGTTCTCTTGCAAAACTGACTCCATTGCCTATTCGTTTGACCTTTCTGTTCTCTGTTACAGTTTTTTTCTGTTGTCGTATATTACAAAAGTCTGCTTTAATAGTACAATTCAGACACAAACTGTAAACCAGGGCAACAGAAATAACTCCGCTTGTATGAAGAAATGTGGAAATAGCAAGCTACAAAGACTGGTGTACTTTCTTGAGGGAAAGATTGCACAAGCTGGTATATGCCAGTCAAAGAGGTCTTTAAAAAAAAATGCCTAATTTTTTATACACAGTTTAAGGCAGAAACTGTTGCATTTTAATTATTTAATTACATTGTTTTATTTTTTTAGCTTGAAATTGTGAAAATGACTTTCCTTATAAAAAATTGAACCTGCTAAGGCAGTGGTTCTCAACCTTTCTAACGCCGCGACCCCTTAATACAGTTCCTCATGTTGTGCTGACCCCCAACCATAAAATTATTTTCGTTGCTACTTCATAACTGTAATTTTGCAGTAGGAGGAATAGTGCCACGTCATTGGTGTCAGTGGGAGGAATAGTGCCCCGTCATTGGTATCAGTGGGAGGAATAGTGCCCCGTCATTGGTGTCAGTGGGAGGAATAGTGCCCCCTTCATTGGTGTCAGTGGGAGGAATAGTGCCCCGTCATTGGTGTCAGTGGGAGGAATAGTGCCCCGTCATTGGTGTCAGTGGGAGGAATAGTGCCCCGTCATTGGTGTCAGTGGGAGGAATAGTGCCCCCCGTCATTGGTGTCAGTGGGAGGAATAGTGCCCCGTCATTGGTGTCAGTGGGAGGAATAGTGCCCCGTCATTGGTATCAGTGGGAGGAATAGTGCCCCATCATTGGTGTCAGTGTGGGGAATAGTGTGCCCCATCATTGGTGTCAGTGGGAGGAATAGTGTCCCATCATTGGTGTCAGTGGGGGAGGAATAGTGTCCCATCATTGGTATCAGTGGGAGGAATAGTGTCCCATCATTGGTGTCAGTGGGAGGAATAGTGCCCCATCATTGGTGTCAGTGGGAGGAATAGTGCCCCATCATTGGTATCAGTGGGGGGGAATAGTGTCCCATCATTGGTATCAGTGGGAGGAATAGTGCCCCATCATTGGTGTCAGTGGGAGGAATAGTGCCCCATCATTGGTATCAGTGGGAGGAATAGTGTCCCATCATTGGTGTCAGTGGGAGGAATAGTGCCCCATCATTGGTGTCAGTGGGAGGAATAGTGCCCCATCATTGGTATCAGTGGGAGGAATAGTGCCCCATCATTGGTATCAGTGGGGGGGAATAGTGTCCCATCATTGGTATCAGTGGGAGGAATAGTGCCCCATCATTGGTGTCAGTGGGAGGAATAGTGCCCCATCATTGGTATAAGTGGGAGGAGGAATAGTGCCCCATCCTTGGTGTCAGTGGGGGGAGGAATACTGCCCCATCCTTGGTGTCAGTGGGGTGAGGAATACTGCCCCATCCTTGGTGACAGTGGGGGGAGGAATAGTGCCCCATCCTTGGTGTCAGTGGGGGGAGGAATAGTGCCCCATCCTTAGTGTCAGTGGGGGGAGGAATCGTGCCCCATCGTTGGTGTCAGTGGGGGGAGGAATCGTGCCCCATCGTTGGTGTCAGTGGGGGGGGAATAGTGCCCCATCGTTGGTGTCAGTGGGGGGGGAATAGTGCCTCATCGTTGGTGTCAGTGGGGGGGGAATAGTGTCCCATCGTTGGTGTCAGTGGGAGGAATAGTGTCCCATCGTTGGTGTCAGTGGGAGGAATAGTGTCCCATCGTTGGTGTCAGTGGGAGGAATAGTGCCCCATCGTTGGTGTCAGTGGGAGGAATAGTGCCCCATCATTGGTATTAGTGACACCAATGATGGGGCACTATTCCCACTGACACCAATGATACTTACCTTGCAGACCCCTGCTCCAGCCTGGGCTCGCTCGCTCCCTCCCTCTCCCATGGTACCAACACTTACCTGTCAGATGTCTTCCTTCTCCGGCCGCTCTCCTCCTCTTCACTCGCTCGATCTTCGCGGTGCCGCTCGGCTCCTCCTCTCCAAGCTCCACCTCTTTGCCGGTGATTGGCCGCCTGTGTGCCTCTCCTGAGCTACAGTGCCGGCGGCCAATCACAGGCGAGGATTGATCTCGAGGTGTGTCCAGATGACAGGGGCGGCATGTCATCCCGCCCACACCTGGAGACGGCGGCGGCGAGGAGCAGTGTCTCGGTTCCTAAGACCATCGGAAATATGTGTTTTCCGATGGTCTTAGGCGACCCCTGTGGAAGCGTCGTTCGACCCCCAAAGGGGTCGCGACCCCCAGGTTGAGAACCGCTGTGCTAAGGCAACATGCTGATTTAACCATTTCCCCTCAGCTAGCCTGCCCTGTCCTGCATCTTTCAGTAAATAGGGGTTTCCCTGTAATGTCCTGACATCACTTTGAACCATTCCTGATGTATACTGTTGTGCCTCCCAATTTCTTCCTCCAACAGCAGCTTTATGACTAATGGCACTTGTCACGCCAATCCCTATTAAATACTTAAGTCTTTCACCAACCACCCATAGCATCCATCCTATAACCAACCATCCATTTAGAAGACCTATATGGCCCCAGGTGTAGGTCAGACTGCACTCCTAAAATGTCATCTTGCTTTCCAAGCTCCCATGTCCTTATTCTTAAAAGCCATCCAGGTCCCTGCCTGACATTCACACTAGCTGCCATCACTCCCTGTTGTATGCCAGCTCAAAACACTCTGAACCAGGCAAGCCCCATTACCTTCTTCAGTGTCCTTGTCTGCACATAGCATATCTGCCTGTTTTGCAGCAGGCCAGGAGAAGGGAAACTACAGTTATGTAAACTAGTAAGTACTCCATGGACTTTTTTTTACTTTTTTACCATATTTTAACAGACAAACATTAGATCTTCATTAAAACAGAAAAAGTTGAACAAAAAACACAAGTAAAAAAAAAAAAAAATCAACAAAAATATGAATAACTGTAATGGTGTAAAGAGAAAGTGAAAAAGTAAAGTATGCTCTTGGCTTCAGAAACTGGATTGTCCCTTTTAGCAGAAAATAAGTTTTGAAGGCATTCTGTATAACTGCACCCGGTCTATGCCGTTGACCATGTCTCCAAGGAAACAAATCCTTCAGGTGTAAGATGATTGTGGGGTTTCATTGCATAAACTGCCTGTTTCAAATTCTCACAGAATATTTCAAGGGATTTTAATAACGGCTTCTAGTCCATTGTCCTCTGTTTGTTCTTATTGAGCCATTCCTTGGGTGGGTTTGTTAGTGTTCTTCGGATCACTATAGTGTTTGAAAGATTCATTTCCAGTTCAATTTCATCTTTCGGACAGATAGTCTCACTTTCTTATCAAGGATAGTTTGATATAATGGAAATTTCATAGTTGACTTAATGACTGCAAGCTTCCCAGGTTTTGAAGCAGCAGGCCTTAATATTTCCTTCACTGTGTTTTACAGTTGTTTTTAAGGGTTTTTTCCTAAATGCTGTCTTGTTTGTACCAAACAGGTCTGCTATTACTTTGACCCAAAAATCTTTAATTTGTTGGTCAACAACACATTGTTCCAGATGGCTCAATGTTTGATTTATATATTAAATGGCAAACTGTAGTCTTGCTCTAATGTTATTTTTTGGACAGCAAAGGTCTCAGGGTTTCAAGGCCCACTTCCCATGCAGGTTAAATTGGTGCAATCTCTTTCTGATTGTAAATGCGTGAGCTTTGGAACTGTTGCAAGATTTACTGTGAGAATCCACAATGAAATTTTGGTGTTTTTGAAGGCGTTTTTTTTTTTTTTTTTAAATCAAACTGTAAGCCCCTGGGCTGATTTTGCTGATCCAGCCAGTCCCAGACAAATTAGTAGTCATTTTAAATTTAATTTTACGGTGGATGCAAATTTCATAGTTGACTCTATGACCGTCATGATTGATTTAAAATCTTTAAGACTCACAAACAGAAAATGCCTAAAAACATCCCGAAATTGTTAAATAGCTTTTTGGATCTTGGCATGATGACACCACATCTCTAGCCTAGAGAACACAAGACCCTAGATATCTAAGTTTTTAAAAAAGAAAAGTTCCACCTGTGTCCACCCTAAGGAGATTCCAATCATTGACACCTAATATAGACCACCTAATTTTAATTTATTGGATTTGAAGTAGCTGTAAATGAAGGGCCGTTATAACTTTTTCCATGTGACAAGTGTCCATTCTTAATCATTTGGATTAAGATAAAATGTACATCACCTTTTATTTTTCTGTAAAATCATTGATAATTGCCATAGGGTGTACTCAGTTGTTCACATGACTGTATGTACCGTTCATTCAATATTAGTTTTTCATTATTACCAGACAGTATGGATAGCACATCTAACACGTGTACACTAGTCCTACCTCAACATTTGGGTTACGTTGTCTTCTCTAAGTGCTTTGCACCCCAACTACACCTGAGATCCTTCAGTGACTGTTCAAAAGCTCACAGATGCATCATTGTTCTAAATTTTTTGTTCATTATGGGGCAGGTGTCAAACCAAACTCCATTTTTTCTGTATATGAAATTAGGTTACCCTTCTAGAGTGGTGTAAAGAAACAGGCAGTTTCAGGTCCAGTTTTTCGTAGATGGACTGAAAAACTAACCCATTGGACTAGAAAGGTTTTTATATGTTTTTCTTCAAAAATATTATATTTTCACATCTTTTGCCATCCTAATAAAACTACAGATGCATTGTTCAAATGAACATTTTTGCATGAGACTAAATCAGAACTGGATCCGTCCAGACTTTATAGATCAATCTTTTATCTACGAAACCGACCACAAGGTTGCTAAGCATTGTCTTACGTCTGTTATATATCCTGTGTTGTTTCAAGGTAT